CCAGTCCATCACAGGGACACCTGGACAGGTCTCCAGTCCATCACAGGAACACATGGACAGGTCTCCAGTCCATCACAGGAACACCTGGACAGGTATCCAGTCCATCACAGGGACACCTGGAGACAAATGAGACAAACAACCATTTTCTCTCTCTCTGTTGTTCAAAGAAGCTGAGAGGAGAGCAGCTCTCAATATTTGTTTTCTGTTCTACTCAGTTTTATAATGATCTGTGAGTTCTACTCTGACTGTGATGTTCTCGTTTTTCTTAAGGTTTTGTTGTGATGCAACTGGTGACATCGTGTGGCAGCGATGGTCACTCAATGGCTCTGACGGAAAGCGGCGAAGTGTTCAGCTGGGGCGATGGTGACTATGGCAAGCTAGGTCACGGAAACAGTGACCGCCAGCGCCGACCAAGGCAGATTGAAGCATTGCAGGGAGAGGAGGTGGTGCAGGTCAGGATTTGATCTTGCATTGTTGGAAAATAAGGATGTATCTCATGTTCAGCTCAACTCTTTGTTCCTTTCCATCTAGATGTCTTGTGGGTTCAAACATTCTGCAGTGGTGACGGCTGATGGAAAACTTTTCACATTTGGTAACGGTGATTATGGCAGGCTGGGACTGGGAAATACATCCAACAAGAAACTTCCAGAGAAGGTTACTGCTCTGGAGGGCTACCAAGTTGGACAGGTGTGCAGTTTTTAAAAGGATTGTTTGGTGTTAGACCATAGCAGGAAGTTCAGAGTCCATGATTTCCTCTGCTTCCTCCTTAGGTGGCGTGTGGTTTGAACCACACATTGGTTGTCTCCACCGATGGAATGATGGTTTGGGCCTTCGGTGATGGAGACTACGGAAAACTAGGACTGGGGAACTCCACAGCCAAGTCTTCTCCTCAGGTACACACCTGAACTTTACCTGAACAAGATGGTCTGAGCTAGATATGTTTGTGTTTTTAATACCATTGTCTTTTAAATTTAGAAAGTGGATATTCTTTGTGGGATCGGCATCAAGAAGGTGGCCTGTGGAACTCAGTTCTCTGTGGCTTTAACCAAAGACGGCAATGTTTACACATTTGGCCAAGGTACCCTTAATTTCTTATTAACTGTTTTATAGTACATTTGATTTAGAATCTAATTCCTCTCACAAAAAAATACTAATACGATGGCAGTGCGTGAACAACACGAGGCTCAGTGTCTCTCCAGAACATGCTATTTAGTGATTTTCTATCTACTTTTGACCAGACTATTCATCCAGAATTGCTCGGCGTTGCTGTTTCACAGCAGACAGGGGCTTCTGGACATTTGGACTCAAAACTAGGTTTATCGCCTATCTCTGACTCATCCCAGAGATCTCCAGAACACTGGAGGCTGCTTACTCTTCCCGGCTAGGTGGAAGTACACGCAGACAGCTCCGAGAATGTAAACAAAGGCGAGGTAGACGCGGAGGGCTAGCTAAGCTAAAACTTACACCACACTGGCTGCCCTTACCCAGCATTTTCTCACCAATGTCCGTTCTCAAGGGCTGGGTACCTTTCTAAAAAAAATCGGTATCGGTACCGGTGTCTGTACCTTCACTTCGGTGTCGGTTCTTAGACGGTTCTTTTTTCGGTACCAATTTTATAATTACTATTAATTCTAACAAGAATAAAATTACGTTACACATTACAGTTCAAATTGTGAGTTTTATTTTTTAACTTTGGTATTTCTATTCCAAGCAGTTTTCTTACATAAAAATAAACAAATAATTTCCAGTTCCAAAGAACAGTTACAAACCAGTGACACGTCAGTGTCTAATGCTCACTGCTACACACTGAGGACCTTTTCACTTAACAGTTTTTTTTCAGAAACATCAACATGTCTGCTTTCTCTGGACACAGACAAGCCCACTCCTGGCTGATGGTGTCTCCAGCAGTAGGCAGTGTTCACTCTGAGGCTGTAGATGATGATTGTTGCACACACAGATACCTGGTTGTCAGTTTGACAGCACTGACATATTGTCCCTCATATTCCACCAGCAGGTCACTGGATTCAATGAGGTAGGGTTGATGTAGACTTCTGCACCTCTGTGTCTCTTCCTGAATCTTCTCTGTGGTTCTCTAGGGTTTAGTGCTCTGATCATCTCCCTAATTGACATGAGAACACAAAACATCAACAATAACATGGTTGTGTTATTATTGATCAAAAAACATTATCTAGGCTGAGAGATAAAAGCTTAACTGGTCAACAAAATCCTTTACAGCTTAACTTACCTCCACCATGCAGCCTCCACTGTAGAAAAAGGCAGCAAACTTTTAACAACAAAGTTTGTGACTGTCCAGTGGCCCCCACCTCACTTTTCTTTTGTTTGTCTCTGTCTTCAAATCTGGGTCAGAGGCTCCTGTGAGGAGAAGATAAACATAAACGGTGAACATTAGATGAACTGTTTAAGCTGCTGACTGGATGGATGAGCACATTTTTACAAGCTAAGCTTTATCTGTTACTGTCATTCTTTAGTTAACTTCTGAGTTTAGTTACATAGATAAAATAAATTTACACACTAATATCTTAAAGTTAGTGTTACATGGATTCTAGTTTAATTCACCGCAATGTACGTGTTAAGCTGCAGTAACGTTAACAAACGTAAACTTACCAGCTGAAACACAGACACAGCTCCGTCCTCGGAGTTCTTTGATGAAGACGAGTCCGGCCGTGGAGATGTTGATTGAGTCCGTTTAACACACAGAGACTGACTAATGCTGAGAGGCGGAGGGGAGGCTGCTGTCCGTCTCTCTTCTTGCAGAGAAAAACGGAGCAACTTTCTGCTCGTGTGTAGTTGAAGCCGTTCGACAGCACACGTGCTGCACACGTGAACCCCGTCTGGGGGCATCACCAGCACCATAGACCACATACATGACATAGACGTAAACACGTAGTCTGTTTGTCATATGTCTGCGTTGTACCTGCCTGCATGCTGAAACCACATGACACGTTACAGCCAATGCCGACACTTGACACAGAAAAAAGAATGACATTTCAATCCATATCCAAAAAAGTTCAATCTGGTCCTCTGGACATTCAAAAAAACAAAAGCAAAACAAAGCAAAAAAAAATCTAGAAACGTTTCGTCTCTCATCCAAGAGACTTCCTCAGTCTGAGGTGCTGTTTTCAGCTCAGTCTTTAGTCTTTAGTTGGCAGCTCAGAACACCACATACAGAACACCATGGACTTTGTGGATAAGGTGAGGGATGTCATCATGGAGACTGATGAAACAATGATCTCTTTTGATGTCACATCACTCTTTACGTGCATTCCTGTTGATGATGCAGTAGAGGTGGTCAGTTTAAAATTAAAATCAGACACCACTCTGAGCAGCAGGACCACGCTTTCCACAGAACAACTGTGTCAACTCTTGAAACTGTGCCTGCAGTCAACCTACTTCACATATGGGGAGCAATATTATAGGCAGAAACATGGGTGTGCTATGGGGTCTCCAGTTTCTCCTATTGTTGCCAATCTGTACATGGAGGAGGTAGAAAAGAGAGCCTTGACGTCCTTTTCAGGGACACCACCAAGTCATTGGTTCAGGTATGTTGACGACACCTGGGTTAAAATTAAATCTCAGGAAGTCCAACATTTTACTGACCACATCAACTCTGTGGATAAATACATCAAGTTCACACGAGAAGATGTAAAAAATGGCAAGTTGGCTTTCTTGGACTGTGAGGTCGCAGTCTCGGATAGAGGACATTTGCAAACCGAGGTGTACCACAAACCCACCCACACAGACCAGTATTTGCAGTTTGACTACCATCACCCTTTGGAGCACAAGTTAGGAGTCATCAGGACTCTGTATCACAGAGCAGACAGCATCCCCACTAGCTCGGGAGCCAGGCAGAAGGAGAAATCCTACACAAAACAGTCTCTAGAGCAATGTGGATATCCTAACTGGGCCTTCCTGAAAGCAGAGAAGAAACCCAAACAGGACTCCAGTCAGCCATCAGGTGAAAAGGAGGAACCCAGACCAGTGGTCATTCCGTATGTTGAGGGGGTATCAGAGAAACTGAGACGTTTATTTTCTAAACATAACGTCCCAGTGGCTTTTAAACCCCAAAATACATTACGGCAAAGACTGGTTCATCCCAAAGATCCAGTCCCCCGGCACAAACAGAGTAATGTTGTGTATGCTGTTCAGTGTCAGGAGGGTGATCAGTCTTACACCGGGGAAACTAAACAGCCACTGGCCAAAATGATGGCCCAGCACAGAAGATCAACATCATCAGGCCAGGACTCTGCGGTCTACACTCATCTCCAGGCCAGCGGTCACTCTTTCAGGGATGAAGATGTTCACATCCTGGACAGAGAGGAACGATGGTTTGAGAGAGGAGTAAAGGAGGCCATCTTTGTGAAAAGAAATCGTCCATCATTAAACAGGGGTGGAGGCCTCCGGGTTCAACTGTCCCCCTCTTACAATGCTGTGATTGCTAGTATCACTCAGCCCTCTGTGAGTAGTAAACAGCCATCAGTGTGCTAATGACCCATTGTTAGGCTGATGGTCCTTCTTGAGCATGTGATCAGCTGGTTTTGGTTGTCAGCAGCAAACTGGTTGATCCACTCTAAGAAGGTGCTATTTAAGAGACTGAGCTGAAAACAGCACCTCAGACTGAGGAAGTCTCTTGGATGAGAGACGAAACGTTTCTAGATTTATTTTTTTGCTTTGTTTTGCTTTTGTTTTTTTGAATGTCCAGATGACCAGATTGAACTTTTTGGATTTTTCTACCTGGATTATTGAGCATGCATCAGGATCTTTTTACATTAATTGCTTCCTTCACCCCCCTCTAAAACCATCTGTGTTCTCGGTCCAAAATGTGCACATTTTGGTCCTCAAAAGAGTGTCCCTTATCTGTGAGGTGGACGTGAACAGCTGAATTTTGTCCAGAGGAGGTGGCTCTCCTGTGTTGAACCATGCGTCTGTGAAGAGGCTGTTTAGTTTCTCCATTGTAGAGGTGTGGACAGTCCTCACTGCACTGGACCACATACACTACACCACTCTGTTTGTGTATGGGTGTTTTGTCCTTAGGGTGGACCAGCCTCTGTCTGAGAGTCCTGCTGGGTTTGAAATGTACTGGGATCTTGTGTTTGTTGAAGATCCTTCTGAATTTCTCTGATACTCCAGCAACATAAGGGATGGCAATGTTTTTACGTCTGCTGTTGTCCTTTTTCTGTTTATTAGTGTGTTTTGTAGATTTCCTCGCTGACTTGACAAAAGCCCAGTTAGGATATCCACATGTTTGAAGAGCTTCTTGAATGTGTTTCTGTTCCTTTTCCTTCCCTTCTGTCTTCATGGGGACACGTTCGGCCCGATGTTGTAAAGTTCTGATGACAGAGAGTTTGTGTTCCAGTGGATGGTGGGAGTCAAACAGAAGATACTGGTCTGTGTGGGTTGGTTTTCTGTAAACTTCAATGTTGAGGCTGTCCTCTCTTTCCATCTGAACCAAACAGTCCAAAAAAGGCAGTTTGTTGTCGTTTGCATCCTCTCTGGTGAACTTGATGTTGTTATTGACCGAGTTAATGTGTCTGGTGAACGCTTCTATTTCCTTAGCTTGGATTTTGACCTATGTGTCATCCACATTTCGGAACCAATGGCTTGGCGTTGTTCCCTCATAGGAGTTCAGGGCTCTCTGTTCCACTTCCTACATGTAGAGATTGGCAACAATGGGTGACACTGGAGATCCCATGGCACAGCCGTGCTTCTGTCTGTAAAAACTGTCATTGAACTTGAAATAAGTGATGGAGAGGCAGAGATCCAACAGGGTGCAGATCTGGTCTGGGGTGAAGTTGGTCCTGTTGATTAAGTCCTTGTCTTGTAGAAGTTGTTTTCTGGCGGTTTCTACTTCTTCAGAGATGGGTATGCATGTGAAAAGAGAAGTCACGTCATATGATACAAGGGTTTCTCCTGGGGTTAGTTTCAAGTGTTGAACTTTGTTAGCAAAATCAATGGAGTTCTTTATGTGATGAGGTGTGTTTCCAACAAGAGGAGCTAAAATACCAGCCAGATGTTTAGCAATATTGTATGTCACTGAGTTCATGCTGCTGATGATGGGTC